TAAAGTCACCCAGCTGGCTTTCATGTCTAAAGTGAGACTAGAACTCCTGTTGTAGAACACCAGTTCTAGGGTCCTAGATCTTTACATCTTAACCCTTACATCCAAGTGGCTCTCAAACTTCTCTCTTTGCATGGAAAAGATTCCAGACTCGGTGCTTGGAAGCCTCTCCCCGCTGAAAATATTTCAGCATTCAGCTAGGGTTTACGCAGAATGAGGATTTCACGTGAATGAAATTGGCATTATAGACAGTTCGCGTGGGATGAGAGTGACATATCTATACCTGGCAATCTCTCGTCTACTTACAACCGTTTGTTTAGTGACTGTTCAACATTCTATCAGCAAAAAAAAGGGGTGGCTTATGACGGTTGCAGCATCCCCATGGTCACATGATCAAAATTCAGATGCTTGGCAACTGACTCACGTTTATGACGGTTGCAGTGTCCCAGGATCACGTGAATCTCTATAACAACCATATTACTAACAACAGTTGTGATGCATTTAAGCCCTATGGCAAGAAAGCTCACAAAATGGGCAAAATTCTGTCTTGTTTAGCAGCAGAAATACTGAACTCAATTGTGGTCATAAGTTGAGGATTACCTGTACAGAAAAGGGTCAGATCTGACCTGAAAAACTTTATTCTGGTTTGGAATATACATTCATGGAGGAGGGGGTGGGCTGAAGCGTTGATATGTTGGGGAAGGCTGCCTTCAGTCTAAACATACATGCGGTGCGGGGAAAACCTTTAATTTCCCAGGAACATTAATGAATCCATTTGATATATTTTCAGACCCTTCCCTTCCCCTAAACATGTATGCGGTGCTGTTTTTTAGTCATTTCCTCTTTGTGTCAGGATTCCGACTGTTACCCCAATTAAATCACGAGTCTCGAGCCAAACTTCCAAAACTAAGCAGGATTTATTGGGAGTTAACATGTCGGCACTACCTGGGTGTAGCCGACTCTGAGACACATCATTCATTGTCACCCTTGACCCTGGTTTCTCCCCCACCCCCTGGGTGCATCATAATTCATATTCTCTAGTGGGGCACATCCATAGCCCAGAGTCATCAATCATGTTCTCCAATTAGATTTTTGCGTGGCAGAAACTTCAGTCACCTAGTTACAATCTCTGAAAAACTATGTATGGAATGTACTTTCGATTTCCAAGCTGCCGCACAAACCCTTTCCCCCCACTTTCTGTTGGCAACTCTAAAAAGAGCGTAGAAATGTTTTATGAGTTGACACTTTGCCCATATCCATGTAAATTATTGCCTGCAAATGTTATATCATTTTGTCTGTGCTTTAAAATCTTTTCGATACCTAATGTTTTTTCTTGCTATTTCCTACAGGTGGTGGTGGTGGTGGGAATTAATGTGAAATATATCATTCTGTTCTTTTCTCTGATATTTTAGCTTTCGGAAACAAAGGTCTTCACAGCTTCATCAATTCCAGCTGAGAACCATGTCGCTTCTGGCCAAAGGTACATATTTTCCTATGTTGCGTCTTTTAATGGCTATTACGGGATGCCCTTTTTCTCAGGTGGAATTGTTGGTCCGAAAATGTACCCATAGACAAGAAGCACTGAAACCTAGAACCCGAGAGGTGTCACCTGCAGCCTCCTGCCAAGTACATTGTCCATTTAGGACAGGTGACTGTCCATCCAGCTTCTCTCTGATGATTCTCCGTGGAGGGGAACATACCATATTTTTCGGAGTATAAGACACACTTTTTCCACCCCCCAAAAGTGGCTGGAAATGTCTGGGTGTCTTACACAGCAAATGTTGCCGAAGCCCCGCCCACCCGCCTCCCCCCACCCTTCGCCATTTGCCTCCTTGCAGCAAATAGGAAACATCCTGTTTCCGCTTCAGCACAGCCTGATTAGCACAAGCGGCTGATTGTGGTTGGATCGGCCTCCCGATGATCAGCTGTTTCAGGCTGCAGGGATTGTCACGGCCTATTGCTGACTCCGCATACCCCATTTTTGGCCTCCGCACCCTTTGTTTACAGCCTCCGCGTGCCCCATTTTCCACCCATTCTGATCCCTGCTGCCCGGAATGGGGTGAAAATGGGGCACGCGGAGGCCAAAAACGGGCTGTGCGGAGGCTGTAAATGGGGCGCGTGGAGACGGCAATAGGCTGTGGTAATCCCTGCAGCTGTCAACGATAAAATGTATATACAAATTATTTAATTGGACTAACTGCTGGAATCTGACAGCAGCCTGAATCAGCTGATCATCGACCGGGAAGCCAATCCAACTGACGATCAGCTGCTTGTGCTAATCAGGCTGTGCTAAAGCTGAAACAGGCTGTTTGCTACAAGGAGGCAAATGGCCGGGAGGCACAGTGGGAATTTTTTTTCCCCTTGTTTTTCTCCCCAAAAGCTAGGTGCATCTTATGCTTTGGAGCGTACTTTATACTCCAAAAAATACGGTACTGTACAGGTTGTCCTCGACATACAACAATTTGCTTAATGTCTGTCTGAAGCAGTAAAGCAGCACTGGAAAAGAGTGACACGACTTTTTTTCACCCACGGCCGCTCCCCCATTGTCACACGATCAGAATTCAAAAGCTCGGCAACTGGCTTGTACTTATGACTGTTGCAGTGTCCCGGAGTCGCGTGCTCATATTTTGCAACCTTCCGACAAGCAACGTCAATGGGGAAGCCAGATTCACTTTTAAAAAAACCATGTTACTAATCTAACAACCTAAGGGATTCACTTAACAGCTGTAGCCAGAAAGGTCATAAAATGGAGGGGAAACTCACTTTAACCGCAAAAATTTTGGTCTCAATTGTGGTTGAGGAGTACCTGTATTTTGTGACTTTTCATTTATCATGTTTCCTGTCAAATTTCACATTGTTTATTTTGGCCCAACCATTCATACATAACCACAGGTGTTCTCTCTCTGTTCAGAAATGTTGGCCGTTCACCTTAATTCTGGGTCACCTGCAGATTTGATAGTTTTTCTCACAACCCCTTCATCCAACTCACGGAGTAGGGTGACTCGCCACGGCCAACTTGTAATGGTCTACTGACTACTTTGCCACAGCCAACATGCTGCGGGAGAATTCACTGCCGGGACAATTCAACAATTTTATTTAATTACTTAAAATAAGTTTAAAAATTACTTCAATTTTTGTCATTTAAATTTTGTTTTGTCTCTCGTTGTTCCTCCTTTCCTTTGATGGTTCTATTCCACCATTTCTATATAACCTTTGCCCTGTAGTAAGTTGTCCCAATAAGGCAGTGGCCCCCAACCTTTTTTGAACCAGGGACCGGTTTCATGATTATTTATTCTTCCACGAACCGGTACCAGAGTAACCACCACCATCGAGACCCCACCACCATCGGGATGGCTCTTCATTCGAAGCTGCCCCCCCCTTCTTCGACGAAACTAAGGCGCGAGCACCCAAACGCCGCTTTCCAACTGAAAATCCGGAAGCAACCGAAAACCCGGAAACGCCGTCGAAACAAGATGGCGGCGCCCAAGCTTTGTGGCCTGGTAAAAAATGATCCACGGACCGGGACCGGTCCGGGGACCGGTGGTTGGGGACCCCTGCAATAAGGGATGCGGTGGTCAGTGTCAAAGATGCTTAGCTTGTCGTTCAGAAAGGTCGGCAGTTTGGCGGTTCGAATCCCTAGCGCCGCATAATGGAGTGAGCTCCCATGACTTGTCCCAGCAGCTTCTGCCAACCTAGCAGTTCGAAAGCATGTAAAAAATGCAAGTAGAAAAACAGGGATCCCTTTGGTGGGAAGGGAACAGTGTTCCATGCGCTTTCGGCAGAGTTTAGTCCTGCCAACCACATGACCACGGAGACGTCTTCGGACAGCGCTGGCTCTTCTTCGGCTTTGTAACGGAAATGAGCACCGCCCCCTAGAGCCGGACAAGGAGAACCTTTACCTTTAAATTGTCCCAAGATGAGCCTCCTGTGTCAAGTTGTCCTAGATCTCCCAACTCGCCGATAAAAACGTTGGACTTCACAGGCGCCAGGAGAGAGAACCCGGGCCCTCCAATTTGATTGATGCTGCTCTCCAAGCTGATAATGGAGTGATTTATGATGGCTGTCTAGGTGCAGCTCTTCAGCCACTTATAAATCCCTCTAGCCATTAATTTGCCAGTTAATTAAAGAGACTATCGTGAGACACTTAGTCAAGTGCTCTGCCAGAGGTCAAGGTACACTATGTTCATGGCATTCTCCCAATCTATTAAGCTAGTAATTCTGTCAAAAAAAAAAAAAACGGAGATAAAGTCAGCCAGTTGTGACTAATTGTGACATTCCTCTGCTGGTGCTGACAAGCAACAGCTTTTGAATAATGTGTTCAAGGGTCTTGCTCTATATAGACCTCAAATTGACAAGCCTGTATGGGGTTTTTTTTTTTTTAATGCTTCCCTAATTTAAAGATGGGGATAAATTGCTCTGGTTCTTTTGGAGTCTGCTTGCATCAGAGTTGCACTTCGAGCTCCTCACTGAAGAAAATGCAACACCAATGCTTAATTTTAATGCCCCCCCCCCCACTGCCACGGTGAAGCTCCTTCTAATGTAGAGATGTTGCTTCAAAATAGAAAAAAAGCAAGGTTTTACACTTATTTATTTATTTTATTTTGATTTGTCAATTGCTAAATTGATTTAAAGTATAAACATGAGTAGGAATACAGGAAATAAGGTACAGATAAACGGGGACAATAGGACAGGGACGGTAGGCACGATGGTGCGCTTATGCACGCCCCTTACATATGTCTTGAGAATGGGGTGAGGTCAGTAGTGGATAGTTTGAGGTTAAAGGAATGGGGGGTTAGAGGATGTAGCAACAGAGTCAGGTAGTGCATTCCAGGCATTGACCACTCTGTGGCTGAAGTCGTACTTCCTGCAATCAAGTTTGGAGCTGTTTACTTAGAGTTTGTACCTGTTGTGTACTCTTGTATTGTTGCGGTAGAAGCTGAAGTAGTCTTTCCCTGGTAGGACATTGTAGCAGATAATTTTGTATACTACGCTTAGGTCCAACCCTAGACGGCGTAGTTCAAGGTTGTCCAAGCCCTGGTGACGTAGGATATTCTCTTGCGAGCAGAGGAGTGTAATATACTCTTCTCATGAAATACTTCTGGACTCGCTCGGTTGTATTAATGTCCGATATACAATATATATTTAGGCAAGAAAAACCAAATGTACTACAGGTTAGGTGACCCTTGGCTCAGTAGCAGTAACTGTGGAAAGAATCTTAGGCAATCCCTTAAATAGGAGCCAGCCCTGTGCAGCCGCCGCCACAAAAAGCCAAAGCAATCCTAGACTCCATCAACAGAGGGACAGAATCAAGACCACGGGAAGTGCTAGTACCACTTTATAATGCCTTGGTAAGGCCACGCTTGGAATACGGCATCCATTTTCGGTTGCCGCGATATAAAAAAGAACCCTACTATTGTGGTATACAGGGAATCCTCAACCTATGACCACACTTGAACCCAAAACATACATTGCTAAGCGAGACAGTTGTTAAGTGAATCACTTCTTTTTTTAAAAAATTAGCAACCCAGTTTTTAAATTAGCCACCCAGTTATTCAGCGAAGCTGGCTTCCCCGTGGACATGGCTGGTCAGAAGGTCGCAATAGGGGATCACGGGACCCCATGATAACCGTCATAAATATGAGTCAGTTGCCAAGTATCTGAATGTAAATCACGTAACCCTGGGGATGCTGCAACGGATGCCGTGGGGGGTGCTGCAACGTCATAGTTGTGAAACACGGTCATAAGTCACTTTTCCCGGTGCTGTTTTAACTTTGAAAGGTCCCTAAGTGAACATTGTAAGTCGAGAACTATTTGTATTAGGGACTAAAGCTTTATTATGTACTTGTTAGATTTATATCCTCCCTTGGATGTAAGACAGCAAACCTAAGGGGTAGACAGCTATGGAGATTCTCAGTCATTCGGGTCATGGTTGTCCCAAAAGTGCATTTTTTTTCAGGAGGCAATTGGACTTTCTGGTTTTTTTCTTCTTCTTTGAAGATGTTTCACTTCTCCTCCTTTGAATGGTGTGGGAGTATGAATCGATTTTCAAAAATGGCAGGCTACAGGAACCATTTGCACCACTCAGGTGACCCTGAGGACACAGATAAACCTCCAAGCGGCCTCAGCGACCCTCTCAAAGGATGCTAACGACCAGGTGCCTGCAAGGAGTATAAAGCCTCCCGTTCTCCACCATCCGGTCAGAGCTGAAGAAGCTTCTTGGATGAAAAGCGAAACGTCTTCAAAAAGAACAGCAAGAAAGTCCAGTTGCCTCCTGAACAAAGCACCTTTATTAAAGGACCTGGATGACTGGGGATCTCAACGGACTTTTAGCCATGCACTTTGGGATGGATACCCTTGTAATGGTGTGGGAGCAGGAATGGATTTCCAGAGGATAAATTGCAGACTACAGGAATCAAGAGCACTACTCAGGTGACCCTGAGGACACAGATAAACCTCCAAGTAGCTTCAATGACCTCTAAAAGGATGCAAATGACCAGCTGTGTCTGCAAGGAGCGTAAATCCTCCCCTTCCCCACCATCCAGTCAGAGCTGAAGAAGCTTCTTGGATGAGAAGCGAAATGTCTTCAAAGAAGAAAAACGAAGTTGCCTCCTCAAAAAAGCACCTTTGGGACTAAGATTGAGCTGAGAGAGGTTGGCCCATCCAGCATCCCCTCGGGAACTCTTGTGGCTGGAGGTGGGCTTGAACCCAGATTCTTCAGTCCTGGTCTTTCACCATTCATCCCTTCGTCTCCCCGCTGTGTCTACTCAGGAATCTTTGGCTCCTTTGCATTCCTCCCGGCCTGTCTCCTAGCTTCCTTCCTTCCGTCTTCTTAATTTTCTTTCTCTTTTCCTTTGATCCTTAGCATTGATCTGGTGACGCTGCTTCAGAACCCGGGCGCTCCAAACCAAGACCTGGAGGCCCCACCCTTCGATGCTTCTCAGCAGCAAGGCTTCGGCCAGGCGCTCGTCTTCACCAATTCCCAGCACAGTCCTCCGACGGCTTCGGGAACAAGCAACCCAAGCACTGTGAACACTTACTCTGCGCAAAACTTGGTAATGTCCCTCCTTCCGGGGGACTCAGGACCCCCGTGGTCAAAGATCTTGCTGCCAATCTCGAAGAACAAAATGGGGTGGCTGTGGATTGCGATGGAAACTCTTGTTTGCCTTTTGCAAAGGGATAATTGTGGGGTCCTTGGTGCCCTCTGAGCTGGCTGGTTCTCTTGCAGATGTTTCATTACCAAACGAGGCAACATCATCGGTGCTGTGTAGTTGGCAATAAAATGTCTGCAACAAAACCTAAGGGTGCTTTTGCAAAACGCAACTGGACTTTCTGTTTTTTTTTTTTCTTTGAAGTGGTTTCGCTTTTCATCTAAGAAGCTTCTTCGGTTTTTGACTGAATGGTGGGGAATGGAAGGATTTATATTCCTTGGGACAGCTAGTCATTTGCATTCTTTTAGGGAGTCATTGAGGCTACTTGGAGGTTCATCTGTCTCCTCAGGGTCATCTTGAGTAGTGCAAATGGCCTTTCAGCAGTTCCAAGGCGGCTCCACACCCATTTGCACCACTCAGGTGACTGTGAGGACCCAGACAAACCTCCAAGTGGCCTCAATGACTCTCTAAAAAGAAGGCGAATGACCAGCTGTCTGCAAGGAGTATCAATCCTTCCATGCTCTCCCTCCCCGCCACGGTGCAGGAGGCCGGCTAGGCCACGCCCACCATGGCCAGGTCTACCCAGCAGTTGGGCAGAGAACTGGTTGCTAAATGTTTTGAAAGCCACCCCTGTTTACATTGTTAGTGACATATAATTCAAGTCTGCTCCTTATAAGGTATCATACTAGAACTAAGGGGGGATTTTCTGACAGTGAGAACAATTAATCAGTGGAATGACTGGCCTCCAGAAGATGTGGGTGCTTTACTATTGGAGGTTTTTAAGACGAGATTTGGACAACATTTGTCTGATATGGTATATAAGGTTCTCCTGCTTGCATTGGGTTGGACTAGAAGACCTCTGAGGTCCCTTCCAACGCTCTTATTCTATATTCCCTAGTTTATACTATCTTAATACAAGCAGTGTGGGCGTTATTCAGTGTCTCACATTTGCTACTTTCCTTTTTCCTAGTCTTCGGTGCTGAGTTCCGGATTCAGAGAACATAACTCCTCCAAGTTAGCCAACTCTGCTGGTCCTCAGATTTTGGAGCCATTGAAATCTCCTGGTTTGAGCCAGTTCGCCTCACAGGGTCCTCTCAGCACAGCCTCTCCGGTGTCCACAACCCCAACCTCATCCTGGGATGTCAAATCTTCGACTTCACAGCCTTCGATCCTCAGCCATTTCGGTGAGTATCCAGACTTGCAAGAAGCAAGTCAGTAGAACATCCCCTCTCCTCACTCCGCCCCGTCTTCTTCACACACACACACACACACACACACACACACACTCACTCACTCACATATTTTGTTGAAATGGAATGTAACATTGTGTGATGAAGCATTCCTTTGTGGGTTTCAGCTCCTACAGTGTATTGTTGTTAAAAAGGGCTATGGTGGCACAGTGGTTAGAATGCAGTATTGCAGGCTAATTTTGCCCACAGCCAGCAGTTTGATTTTGACTGGCTCAGGGTTTGATTCAGCCTTCCATCCTTCTCAGGTTGGTAAAATGAGGACCCAGATTGTTGGGGGCCAGAGGCTGACTCTGTAAACCGTTTAGAGAGGACTGTAAAAGCACCCGTGAAGCAGTATATAAGTCTTAAGTGCGAGTGCGATAGACAAACAGAGCCCTAGTGGCATAGTGGTTAGAATGCAGTATTACAGGCTAATTCTGCCCACAGCCAGGAGTTCAATCCTGTGCGGCTCAAGGTTGACTCAGCCTTCCATCCTTCCGAGGTTGATAAAATGAGCAGCCAGATTGTTGAGGTTAAGACACTGACCCTGTAAACCACTTAGGGAGGGCTGTAAAGCACTATGAATTGGCATATAAGTCTGTTATTGAGATAGAGATAGATGATAGATAGATAGATAGATAGATAGATAGATAGATAGATAGATAGATAGATAGATA